CCACCACCCCGCCTATTTCCGCCGTGAAGCAGTAATGCGTTTCGGTTCGAAGGGTGGGGTAGCCGTTGTAACTATACTGAGACCTTAGAACTTATGTCTCAAGGTGGGTGGCGCATTTACGTTCTAGATGTCTATGGGCTCCAGTAACCACTTAACACCAGGTGGGCTGTGAGCTCGTCCACCCATAAACAATAAAAAAATTTATATTGGATGTCCTTAAAAATAAAGCTCGACAAGTCGACACAGATAGACTATTAGTGATACTATAAATTAAGTGAAAATGAAGAAAAATGGATTTAAAAATCAAACAATCATTAAGTAATCACAAGAGGTTATAAGCTGTTTATATATAATATCCAAAGATGCGAAAGGTTCACCTTCGACCATAACTGTACAAACTCAAAATATGTAATTAATAAGAACGTTTTGGGTTGAAAAATACATAAGAAAGTATATTCATAATATATCGAGATCTAAAAAATCTTTTTAATAAAATTATTCCCATAAATATATCGCCTGAATTCGGAGTCTACTACATTTATTTTTTCCAATACCTACATACCTCCAAACTATGTTTATGAATTAGTTTGAGCTGAGCATTACACCACATTTTAGGGAAAGCAGTGGTTCCCTATGGTTCCCAAGTACATCTGAACAGGATAATCAGAGACCAATACAGTTTTGGAACGAAGTTCCTTATCGCGCGTTGTGAAAGGGGGCTAGACGGAAAAAATTCTTACGAAAAGTTGTCACGACACTTTTTAGATCCGTCATTCTGACCAATCAACGTGTAGGCGCTTATCGCGTGACATTGCTCGTATCCGATTGGTCCGCGTAATGAGTACAGTTTCTCGAGATAGCGTTTCAACAATAGTAATTTAGTTCATAGTATTGTTTTTTCTTCTTCATAATGTCGTAATTTATTATTATAACTTAAAAAAAAAATTACAATTCCTTCACTAATTAATCGAAAGGAACTTCGTTCCATCCGGATGTCCCTTGACACCTCTGAAGTTTTTTTTTTTATTCCTACCTAAACTGATGGTCTGAGATCATTTCAGCGTAACCTTAATTAGTAGGTGAGCTCACGGGGCTCAAACCTGACGATGTTGCCAACACGAATCTTAGCATGAGCAGTGCTTCGCAGAATCTACCACCGGATCGGAAACGCGACCCACTGAGAAGATCTGGCGAGAAATTCAGTGGGCTGTGTCTGTGGGTTAATTTACTCGCCCAGCGACAGGTTCGACGTTAACGATGATCGGTGCTTGGGGTACCTAAAAGCACCGTTAGTAGATCGGGAGGATCCGAATCACGCGTTTTTGGCGACGTCGACTGTTTACCATTTAGTCCCCAGGATCGGCTATGTAGTTTCCGGCGGCCATGATAAGAGGAAGTGGCGCATTAATGCCGACTGTAGATACTTACTGATGGACTCTAAGTCCTGGTCGTCGTGCAGGTCGACGTCAGGTTCATCGACATCACGTTCCTGACGAACCACGGCTCCGACGGATATCCTGCAAAATCGGGATTGAATAGTTTGAAGGGGTTTCAAGTTTGTGCGGGCCGCGTGAGCGAACACTACACTTGTGTAGGTTATGACGGGGCGTATGCAAGTTTTGTAGAGTGTCACCTTATTTTTACGGGACAATTTACTTCGCTTGCAAATCATCGGATAGAGACGACGAATACAAAGTCATTACCTTTAGTAGCTTGAATTTGGTGTTGCTAATATCTATCATTAACTATGTCTATTTAAATCAAGCGGGTTGCAGGTCTATAGTGGCATTATAGATTTACAAGTCCAAGTCTCGTATGGTATCATAGATTATACACTTAATATATTATGGTATAACTGCTGTCCTACCGAGTTGAATCACAATTGCTTCAATTCAATTAGTGAGGGGTTGCATTACACAAATTAAGTCAATTAAATACTTAATATCGCGAATAGTACCTTAAATTACTTTGTATTAGTACTTTTTTCATGCAGGTTGCCGAAATTCACACGAGGTACCGAAGTTAGAGCGCGCGCGGGGTATGTAGCACTTGACGGTCTATAGATGTTGGGAACCGTGATTGTTTACGGCTCAACCCACTAAATGACTCCCCTTAACCTCTGTGATCCGATGTTCAATCTCCACCCGACGCCAGAACCGGGGCAGAGTAATTCAACATTACAATCAAACTCGTGAGACGACTCCTAGGACGCTCGATCGACGGGTCGTTGAGGCGCTCCTCGACCACCAATGAAGCCGGTCTCAAGGGTATGGCAGTCCATTAGGCCGTTCTGGCGATGCCTCTGGTGTTCCGGGATAACCTGCTGGGTCAGAACCAGATTGCAGGGTTGAAACGCACCACCCCTCGTGTTACTCTTACGCAGCATTTCAGGGTGTAAAGCTAGCGTGCGGTGCAACCTTAATCCCCTCAGATCACCCTATGATCATCATTGGGATCAGACTGCCTCCTTATTTTGCTGGAGCTGGACTAGCGCCTTTCTCCAGCCACCGGCTCAGTGGCACAACGCCGAGAAGGAAGAAGAAATAACCCTGTTCTGTTCCTTTGCCTCCTTCTTTTCATAGAAGTAGAGCATCGCCTGCCAAAAAAAAAAGTTTCGTATCGTTTTTCGTTTAAAGCTATACCCATGTTTATCTTACCGTATAGTGAGTTGGAATTTAGTATTGATTCATAATTTCCAAGTCCAGGATGTGACAATAACGATCAAAATTCACGATCGTATCCAACTCTACTCAAGTCGAATACGAGAGTAGATTGTCGAGAGCTATCGAGATGTTTTTGTTATCGAAATAGTCCACTTGACTACTCGCCTCTACTAAAAAGCTTAGACATACGCATAAATCATAGATTTTAAACTTAATATTTGAGAGAATAGAAAACATATTTAAGTTTATAATCGATGACACATATGTCACATATTATTTGATAGACAGGTCTCTCGAATATATTAAGTGTATAATCTATGGACAGGTCCGTACCTAATTTGCTACTACATACAATACGGACCTATCTTAAAATATGTGCGTACCATTTTCATCATTGTAAATGTAAAATCCGAAAAGTTGCTTGATAAGATAAAAGCAAAAAAATACATACCTACTCCTACTCCTTTCTAAACTAAATTATACTTACTTAAGTAAATAATGGATACCGTTGTGAAAAGCCTCCTAGAAGAAGATGAAGAAGAAAAAAAGGTATTTACATTAAGTAATGTATTTTGTATAAAGATATTGTTCGAAATTGTTTTATTTCTTTGAGTTACAATCCATAAAATTTAGGTTATTTATGTAATTAAAAAAAAAAACATTTAAAAAGCGTGATTTTAAAAATTATAATATCATCTAATGGTGTGTTTCAGGGTCTGGTCATATTTGGTAGAGACATATCAAAAATACCTTGCTTCAGAGAGAGCTTTCTTTATGGTATTGGTACTGGAATTGGATTTGGATTAGCCGCATTTGTGAAAACATCGAAGCCAATGCTAGCACAACACATAGGTGTTGGCACCTTCTCCCTGTCAACACTCTTATACTGGTCCTACTGCAGATACAGGTGGTCACAACAAAGGTTTGACGCACAGTTGTTACAAGATGCCTTAAAAGATAAAATTTTGTATGAAGGCACTGCAGTAGAAAAGGAAATGGAGAAAAAAGGTGTCTTAAAGACTGTATAGTTGATAATAAGCAGACATTTGTATTAAATGTGAATATTTTTTGTATTAAGTTATTGAAAATCAAGTATTTAGCTTTGAAGGACTTTATAAAATGAAGGCTTTTAAATGAATAAAACTGCCATATATTTCTTCATAGGTAAATGTAGATAAAAAGTAGATATAAATAAATAAAGTATTGAGGTTTTAAAATCTAGTTTATGATTGTTATGATGTCCACCTTTCCTATGAGGGCTTGTGAGTGCAAAATAATGTTTGTGGTGTTGTTGGAGCCAAAGGCAAACAGGAGGTTTTAGACTACTGCATGTCATGTGTAGTAGGGCATTCCACAATGAGTTACCAAATGGGTCCACTTGGGTAGAATTCCTATATGCCTTATGGCCCAGCCGATACTTAAGATATTAATCAAGGAGATGTGTAACAAAATAAGTCGATACAGCTACAGTGATTAGATTGTAGCGTGTATGATTTCAGGGGCAGTATTTAAATACACACATTTAATTGTGTAGTGTATTAGTGGGGATATTTATTCTCTTTTTTCATAAAAAGGGGTATTTGCGGGTAGTATAAAACAAACACAGTGAACTAGTGCTTAAGTCTATAATTCAACAAATAAATACCAAAAATAATAGTTTGTATTTTCTGAATTCTATAATTTGTACTTCTTTATGCATGCAATATTCGAGAAATTTTCTTTCCCAACTATGAAACATCTGTTGATCCTCATTAGTTGCAAATGGTAAACAGTCACCATCGTTTAAAAACGTCACTTCGGATCCTTCCGTTCCAATAGCGGTGCTTTAGGCTTTCCAGGCACTGGACACCGTTCTCGTCGAACCCCTTGAATACGACGAAGGAGTCGGCGTGAAAATGAACCCACTGAGACAGCCCACTGGTTTTCTCGCCGGATCTTCTTAGTGTTCTCTCAATTTAGAAGGTTCCAAGAACACCTTACGAAGGCACAGTTCTTTTAATTTAAGCTACAGGAAACCTATGTGAAATTATGAAAAGGCATGAGAGCGATTACGAACGCCGTGAGTGATGCTGTTGACGAACTACGGGATTCGGTTTCCAGGCGGAGACAATACAATTTGATATACGGAGCTGGATTGTTCTTGTTGTTGTGTCGAACGTGTTATTTTCGGCATACTAATAGAAGTATAAAAGTATACTAAATATATGGCATACTAAATACGGCATACAAAAAGAAAATCATAGCTTAGAGCCGTTGAATATTTTTTTATTGCATACATTGTTACATGAGTCTTCGGCCCACTTGGCTTCTGATGTTAAGTGGGTATCAGAGTCTATAAACATCACAACGTTAACGCTTGCCGGCATCCACAGCTTTGGACGTGAGATCGAATTCTCAGTTGTGTTGTATAACCGTTGTCCCTATCTAAAGAGAAATGCATGACAACATTAAATAAATTGGCAGCATGCTAGTATCAAACCATCCAGGAACAAATATATGGAACGTTTATTTATCTCAAGCTATATTTGAGCGGACGGTTATATATAGTTACAGCTCGACCAAGCTAAGTTTGCACCTCGCATCGATTACGTCACACTGCCGCTTAGGTATGGTCTGAAAAAAGGATTCGCTATGACTTTAAAAATATAAACATATGTTTGTTAGATTTTACTTTGCATTTATTGTTTTTAACAATATATTATACATAGGTACATTAGAATATTTTTTTGTATTAAGTTTTTATATTAAGACCACCCGGGCATTCTTGCACCTTTTAAATTTGTATCCCAATTGCTCAGTAATAACTTTCTTTTATGTTTCCTTTTCAGGATTATGTTTGTCCCTTCACTGTGTATACTTTTCCTTTCATTTTTAGTGCTCAAAACAATCCTTTCGAAGTAAAAAAAATTTAACGTTAAGCGTTCAGTAACAACATTTCAACAAAAACTTAACAAAAATAGTCCATTAATATAACTAAACTTCAACAAAAAACCTAACAAGAACAATTAAAAAATTTCAAATCAACGGATAGGGAGACGAAAACTCGTATGACGCGTGTCGGCGACAAAGATGCTAACCGTACAGACGCGATAGGGCGATTGCGGGAAGGTGAGCGGGGAAGCGGGCGGAGCGCCGCATTCCAGCGAGATGCAAACTTAGCTTGGTCGAGTTGTATAGTTATTTACTAGTGTTTAAAATAATATATTTTTTCGGGTGTGATTTTAGATATAGTTAGTAATCGGCACTAGTCTCGAGCTGTGACCTTGTCATGCGCAGAAGTTCATTTTTGGGTCTGTTTGGGGGAACGAAACATGGGGGCAGGTCGCAGCGGCCATGCTGATTACGTGATTGGATCTTTCCGTGGCGCGTCACATGCCGTGAGTTGTGATTGGTTCTGTGTTGTGCAGGCGCATCACTGCAGCAAACTATACATTCCTCTTTTTTTATTAGTCACAAATTTTTTTTATCAACCTCATTTAATTTATATTGTTTTTTGTGTTTATCAAATTAGTATTATTATAATATTCTAATGATGTACTATTTTAAACGTTATTCTCAAAACGAAAATATGATTAGATACTGTGCTAGGTAGTAAAGTAGCCAATAATACTGATAAAATAAAAAATAACATCAATTAAATGATTTTCAATTTTTAACTAACAGTAAGCTATCTGTACTTTTACGTTAGCAGCAACAACGTTAGTTGGAGCTTTAAAGCTGTGACCGACCTGATCAAATAAAAAGTCAATTCGATGGCTGCCACTGATTGGAATAAACTGTGCCAAAAAGTGAATAAAATATAAGAGCACTATATTAAAATTGATCATGTGGTAGACACCTTGGTAGTTTCCAATTACAGCACAAGAGCGCATTATGCGGCATAATGCTCAACGTTGAATGTTCCAACTACAGCAACGCTTCGCACAATCGAGCACTCTCAAAAGTACTGCTCTCGCGTGATGCGTGCAATCGATACCGACACGGTGACAGAAAATTGACAAGTGTTTTTTATTTAAGTTGGCATTGATTGAAATTTTGTTTATATTATCGTTCTTAATATTATTTAATGTTGAAAAAAATTGTAAGGCTTTCGTTTCGTCATAGTTTCTTAGAAATAATCAATGTTAATTAAAACGGTGCTAACTTAGCGCACTCTGCTGATGCATTTGAAAACTAATTCACGTTCCAATTAAGCTTCAGCATAATTCGGCATTGTGCGTCACTGAGTCGCATTATGCTCTGTAATTGGAAAACTACCCTTGACTGTAGAATTTATCGAAGATCATAATTATGATTTGATGGATAGTGTATCATTTATGATAGAATGAAGTGCTTAACAATTTATTTATTTATTTCATACCAGCTGACCCGGCAGACTTCGTAGTGCCTCAATCGATAAATAAAAGACCGACGGGGGACACATCAAAGGAAAAACAAAATTGTTATTTTTATTTAATTCCTAGTACCTACTAGTAATACCTTTTAAACCTTCTCTGGACTTCCACAAATAATTCAAGACCAAATTCGGTTCAGCCGTTCTCGAGTTTTAGCGACACTAACGAACAGCAATTCATTTTTATATATAGAGATATGTTCTAGTATGATTATAACAATATAAGCACATACCTAAATGGGGTTATTTCTGACTACGAGCGAAACCACGGGCAAAACTATTATAAAATTACTAATACATTTTAAAATCTCAAATTGAACGAAGTTAATTTAATTTTTTTTTTTTTATTAAATACATGAGTGAACCATTTACTTTGACCCTATGTGTACGCTGAGCAGACGGCGCCCCAATCTTTTGTCGAGAGCACAAAACTCGCGCCGATTGGTGTATTGGTTTTTTAATTAAAAAAAAACATTTTTTTTAATTTAGATCAGCATCAGATAACGTTTTTTGTCGAAGGGTATCTTATCACCCCGCGGGGGTAGGAAGCAGTAATCCGTTACGGTTTGAAGGGAGGTGTGGCTGCTGTACTATAGAACTCATATCTCAAGGTGAGTGGGGGCATTTGTATTGGTGATGCCTATGGGCTCTGAGAACCACTACACAGATGGTCGTAAGTTTGTTCACCCATCTAAGCAATAAAAGAAATGTGAAAATGTATTTCTGATAATATGTGCTGATCGCAGCTGCGGCCTATTCGTATGACGCGAATGCTCGCTGTGAGCACACGTCCATACAGCCCTGGGCATGCGAGACAAACCATTCGCGCCACACGCCTCGACATGTCTGTACTAGAGGTGGCTAATATAACCATTAACCAATAAATTTACCGGTAAAAAAAATTAACACTTCTATTCGATAAATAAAATTACCCAAAACGGTTAAAAATACCGTTTAACAAACACACTGCGTGTAGTGGCATAGGCAATTATTGGAAATTATATTTATGCAAGTTTCAACTTTATTTCAACACGTAAGATTCATTTTCGCCTTGCAGATGTTTTCAACTTATCATGTAAAAAATATTGAATTTTATGATTTCATTGTATGCTCTATACCCCTCAAAATAAAGCACAATATTTAAGTTGGTGTATTTTACAGTTAATGATAATTTTTTTCGTTAAAAAATTGAAATGAAACGATATTTTTACCGAACGCGAAGATGACGCGATTGGTTGATTTTTTAAACGTAATATTTTGTTTGNGATGCGTGCAATCGATACCGACTCGGTGACAGAATATTGACAAGTGTTTTTTCTTTAAGTTGGCATTGATTGAAATTTTGTTTATATTATCGTTCATAATATTATTTAATGTTGAAAAAAATTGTAAGGCTTTCGTTTCGTCGTAGTTTCTTAGAAATAATCAATGTTAATTAAAACTGTGCTAACTTAGCGCACTCTGCTGATGCATTTGAAAACTAATTCACGTTCCAATTAAGCTTCAGCATAATTCGGCATTGTGCGTCACTGAGTCGCATTATGCTCTGTAATTGGAAAAATACCCTTTACTGTAGAATTTATCGAATATCATAATTATGATGTGATGGATAGTGTATCATTTATGATAGAATGAAGTGCTTAACAATTTATTTATTTATTTCATACCAGCTGACCCGGCAGACTTCGTAGTGCCTCAATCGATAAATAAAAGACCGACGGGGGACACATCAAAGGAAAAACAAAATTGTTATTTTTATTTAATTCCTAGTACCTACTAGTAATACCTTTTAAACCTTCTCTGGACTTCCACAAATAATTCAAGACCAAAATCGGTTCAGCCGTTCTCGAGTTTTAGCGACACTAACGAACAGCAATTCATTTTTATATATAGAGATATGTTCT